TCTTCTGATTTTCTGTAACTCATATGAGGTTAGGATGTTCTGGTTGCTTCATTAAATACCTCTAGGGTCATATTTTGGTAGTTTTGTCTGGAAAGAGCGTGTCTAGAATGTAGTGCAACAGGCCTTTCAGGTTAACTGAGCACAGGTAGTGTTTATGGTAAAGAGTAGCTTGTGATCCAAGATGTTTTTCATACCATGGTAATCTCTTATGTTCTGTTTTATGTTTTCCAAATATAAAAAATGCACTGAATAACTCTCTTTGGAATTGGAAATCAATTCAATTTGCAATTGCTACTGAGTGGAGTAACTTAATGATTATGATAGTTCTCACAATCAGCACCAGATTAACTACTGTAAACTGTCACTACAGCTGACAGTTAATACAGACGTGTACCAGATGAGTTCATGTGCCTTCTTTTACTTTCTTGTAGCTAATAGTTAGCAGTTGGCTACATGAGATAAACTGCAAGTAAAAGGAGTAATAACAACTAGTTTCATATCTCAATGTTTAATGTTATCTCACCAGCATTCTCTCTTTCACTTCCGGTCTTTTTGATGATTAAATGTTAAAGCGTATTCTTCTGACTGTATGTGAATAACATCTCTGCTACTATTCTCCATAGTCTTTTGCTGGCTGAGAATGATTTTTGCACATGAAAATCTTTCTAGCCAATGTTAGTTATGTTTTTATTACCTGGATCTGATATGAACATGTGTGAGTTTTATGAAAGAATCCCGGAGTAATCTGTTGATTGGACTTGTGCTTTGGATGTTCTGGTGTTTTGTTTGTGTTTTTTAAAAAAAAAAACATGAGAAGACTGCAATTAAATATTTTTTTTGCAGAGGGAAATGTTGGCATTCATCTTTTACAGGGAGGAAAAAAGACAAAATACACAGCAGAAATCAAGTAAACTTACAGGCAAAATAGAAATATTTGTAAACTATTAAACATAGGAACAGTTTTCACATTTTAGTTTTCAATAATGCAAGAATAAAACTAGCACATAAAAGGTTTTCTCCATTCTAGTATTTATAATGTAAATTAAAACTGAACAGTAAAATTCATTTTGTTTCCAGTGTAATAGCAAATTTTATTAAATCGAACAGGTTATCCATAATTTGACTCAGACTTAGCAGTCATATATGAAGATTCAAACTTTAAAACTGTAATGAAATGCTTTGATTTTTATATCCAAAACGTGAGCAAACCTGAAAATTCTCATAATTCAGAAATGTTTATGAATAATATCAATGTGGGATCATTGATGCCTAGCTATTTTGTTGTACATAGAAATGCTATAATGCCAGAGCCTTTATTTTAACAGAAAACTTCAGGTCTTCTGTTGGTGTATGTGTAAATGTATAGTATCGTTGCTTAGGTACCTTTGTGGACATCTTAGATGAAATTGTAATATAGACAACATAACGATTTTTCAAAACTAGAAGTAGACATTTTTTGTAGTGGGATGATTGAGCAAAGCCTTTTTAGTTGCCTGAAGATCAGAAGAACTGATATTACTAGTCATGGGATCTTAAACTCTGGAAGGGGTGGAGTTTATAGGCCTTTGCTCAAAGAATTGTAAATGGCTGCTTATTCCAGATTTTATTACCTTAGAGCAGAAATATGAGTAGCATAAAATGGAATTACTTTGTGACCCATAGTAGCTGATAGGTGCACCCACAATTCCCTGGTTTTCTCTTCAGTGTAATCTTGGCATTTTTATTTCCTCTATTCCCAGCATACAGAATATGTGTGATGAGAACAGATGCACAAAAAAAAAAATCCAGAACAATTAATAAGGAAAAAACAGCATGCATGAAACGCAGTCCTTCATATTACTGATTGTTAAAATAACAGATTATGGGGGGTTTTTTATATTTATTTTGCTTGTTCTAAAACTTAACAAAAATCTAAAACATCATAGTTCTAGGCTAGAAATACTTTTACAATGATACTGCTCTGGCATTATTGGTAGACTTTGCTGAAACAAGTTAGCTGTGCTGACTGTGAAAACAGAAAATTCCTGCTAAGGAATTACTATACCCTCTTGGCTTTTGGAGTTTGTGCCTAGCAAGCCAGACCTCTGGACTTACATGCTTATCTGAGTCTTTCTAAGCTGTAGCGTATCCGTACATAGTGAATTTCATGCACACACCGTGTTACAATGATTCAGGAGTTTCAAAGAATTAATCACATTATACATAATCAAATTCTCCAAAACATCACAGTCATTCACTGTATTACAAAGTGAAATATAGACTAGATTTAACTTGCTGTTTAGCTCACAGAGGTTTGCAAACTGAAGTCTTAAACTGAAAATACAAAGTGATAATGCCTCCAGATTCTGAGAATGTTTTTATAGAGTTTTTACGGATGATGCTGGAAAACTCATTTTAACATCTGCTTTGTGTGTAATACAAAAATTGAGATCAGTGACACGTGATTAAGTATCTTTCTATTCAGTGAGTGACTTAAGCTTGCACTTCCCTCTAACCATGTACTCAAGCCTCTTCAGCTGCTTGTGCAGTGGCAGGGGAAGTGTCTGTGCAAGGGCAGCTGTCAGCTTGAGTCCTCCTGCCTTCTGATGACATGGTTGCCTGCAGTTGTTTCTTGGCCACACAGTAACCTCATGGGTGCACCTGCGCATATGGGGTCCTGCAGACTCCACAGTCCATAACTTGGGCTATAACTGGGACCATGCCTGTAGGCATCCTTCTTCTTCACCCCTGAGGCAGCCACCCGGATACAAAGTGGACATGAGTCTCAATGTCACTTGCTCAAAGGAATATAAGCCAATGTTTAAATTTTAGATGTCTGTTGATTTTATTTTATTTTTTTAAAGATGTGTCTGGTTAATTACAAAAGTGAACACTTAAGAAGGAGTTTATTCTATTTTATTGCTTTATTTGGAAATCTGTTCAAGGAAGACAGTTCCTAGTGTTGGTGGCCAGGGATTTGCACTTCATGCTTAGAGAAAAATTGACTATTTGGAAGCTACTATATAACACCAAGGTACTCTGACAACCTAGAATGTACTTTCACCAGATAATTTTCACTTGTGGCAGTTAGAAATGTTATTGTTTACTCATAGGCAGATCTTATTAAGGATAACATGTAACTGTACACCCATCCCATGGCTGAAGCCTTTGGGAAGATAGACGGCTGACTGACCATTAGGCTAACCTTGCCCACAGTTGACCCGTAAACACTGTGTGCTTTACATGATTCTACTTTATCAGTCATGTAGTAAGAGGAGTGGCAGTATGAAGAAGCTATAAGTTTCCCTTTTGTCTGCTAGGGGCAACATGTATGTTGTGCAGCATGGGATACAGTAGCATCTCTTTTGTTCCCACTGCAGTGAGAATTTCTTATTTGAAATTTAAGAACAAGAAGGATATCTTACAACCTTTCCTTGTCAGTGTTCAAGGTGGAAGAACTAAAAGGTTGTGCTGCGAGTCCTAAAAGGTAGAAGAATGATGGTGACTTTCCTGAGGAAAGATTAAGAGAACTGTAACCATTTCTAGACTTAGCACTTCAACATCGTTGATGGGGAGGACAATCACTGTTTTACTTACCTGTAGGCCTGTCAAAACAAAGGATGATCTCAAAATTATGGAGCAGATCTGTTCCATTATATTCATTTTGCCACAGCAGTTTTGGCAGTGTGACAGAGTAGTTTTGATTCAAAGTAGATCAAATCAAAGTTCCTCTTATCTAGAAGTTAAAGGCTGCTTACTTGATTGGGTCTGAAGTCCAAATTAAACAGCCAAAGTGACCAAGTTATATTAGTTCCATAACATCTATTCTATTTTTAGATTAGAGTGGTCTTTTTATAAACCATGGAAAATTAAAGACAGACCCTAGTTATAAAACAGTAGGTGCTTTACACTTGCTGTTACTTGCAAACTTTTTCATAGTAGAAATATGTCTAAATCAAGGATTTTGGTTCAGCTAATTGTCAGAAGAGGACTCAGAAAAACATTTTATATGTCAATCTAAATTCATTCAATTTGCTGAAGACTTTTGCATAAATACCTATGGAATTTGGAAAGTCATAAATAAAATTTCCTTGAGCCTTGGGTTTAAGACTCTGGGATAAAACTTTTGACATACTTGAATGACTAAAGATTTCAGATATTTCTGGTTATTTGGAGGAAAAAACACCACCATTCAATACCAACTACTTTTGGTTTTTTCTTAATATAAAAAAACCTTAAGATTTTCAGGCACTTAGGAAGAATGATGATTAAAATTTGCAAAACTGAAAACTTAATTGTGGAAGACTTCTGATTCTATTCATATGCATGCTATTGAGAGATGCAATTAAAGTCAGTGTTATCTAGCTGTTAAAAAAAAAAAAAAAGTGAAAATTTTTTTTCCAGTTATGCCGCTTTAATTTTGCATCATTGGGCTTTGGGGGGTTTTTAAAATTATTTGCATGCTTGCCAAAGCACATAAATGTTTTATAAAATATACTATTAAAATGCAATTGTATTTCATCTGGCCATTCATAATTATTTAGATGGTTATTTTTCCCATATACATTTTTGTCAATTATTCATCTAACCGTTGTTCTGTAAGCCCGTTAGTTGTCTCTGCTGCCTTTTGAAATACAGACCAGATCAGTTCATTCTAGTAGCATACCTATGACAGCCATTCCATTCTAAGGTTAGCCTGAGCCCTGAATGCCAGCAAATCTCATTTGCTTTTATGACATGAGACATCAGAGCGTTCCTAAGAAGAACCTCAAAGCTGGGTTAACTGCCTAGTGTTAGCCATGCAATGTTACTATACAGCCTAATGCATTATATGGTGATAAACTCAAGCCAAATGATAGATGGGGCCTAAACATTCCCCTAAAACTTACACCTGATTGTGAGTTTGCATCTCAACCCTTTGGACATGAGACAATTGGACCCCAGCTCGGGCCTGAACTTGTTGCAGAGATAACAAGCTTCTTTTAAAATGTCATTTTCTTTTTTGTTGTTGTTTTCAGGGATTACAATGGTTGACACAGAAATGCCGTTTTGGCCCTTTAATTTTGGAATTAGTCCAGTGGATCTGTCTGCAATGGATGATCATACACATTCCTTTGACATAAAGCCGTTTACCACCGTTGATTTTTCAAGCATTTCTTCACCACACTATGAAGATATTCCTCTTGCAAGAACTGATCAGACAAGCATTGATTATAAATATGATATCAAGCTCCAAGACTGCCAAAGTATGCTTTTAATTTTTTTTTAATATTTTCTTCATGTTCATATTTGCTTCATTCTCTGGAAAGTGTACTATCAGCAAAAGAATTTAGAAGTATTCAGATGCCTAAATGCTGGTATCCTGTATCATCAGAGATGCCCACAAGATATTCTTGCAGGGCAGACAGAAAAGATAGAATACATATAGCAGACCTTCACCTTTCCAGAGCAGTAGTTGGAGATTAGACAAGGTATCATAAAGTATCTAAAATGACATTAAATGCTTTTTATTAGACACATGAACCCCACCATTCGTTTCTGAAACCTCCAGTCTCCTATTCATGTACCTTGTGTGTAAATTGACCTTTGAAGGTCTATGCACACAATGCAGAATAAATATCCTGGATGTTAAAAAATGCCCCAGCATACATAGCATATTAATTATTAATATGTGCAGCTTTTAAATTCCAAACGGCCCAAGAAATTGATGGAGTAGAAATATTGGCTACATCCGAGTCACAACGTTGGTATAACTTTCATCAGTGTTCCTAATGCAGGGATAACCTTGGAGCTTCATGGGCTAGTATTATTTATATACTATGAAAAATGCTGTTCTTTTGCCAGTTACAGTAAAAAACATTACACGAAACTCTCTTTTTAAGAAAGGAAGTGACCTATTCTTAAATAGGGTGTTACTGCATTCCTGCTCAAAGTAGGAATGTGAGGTTGCTGTGCCTGGAACTTTTCTAAAGGTCTGCTTAGCCTGCTTAGATCTGAAATCACTTTTGTTTGTAGGAATCTGTACAGGAATTCTTTCAGGGAATTCTTGCTAGGAAAATTTAATTTTGGTTGTACAGCGAAGCAGGTGCTGTGTACCTCTTGTGTACCAAGACATCTTGCCAGCTAATAATTTGTTTTTTCTTTTGTTTAATTAGAAATGTCCATTACACTTTAATAACAACCTAGAGAGTGCAATAGAGTTTAAGTAGGATAAATCCTCTTCGTCTTTACTTAGATAGTTTTCTACTTTTCTTTTTTCTTCCTAGTTTATATAGGAAAGAAAACTTTCTAGTTTGTATAGTGTAGCCAGTTTGGAAAAGAAAAACATTCATCTTGTTGTAATACTTTGTCTGTTACAACACTCCTGAGATGTGATCTGGTATAATGTTATAGTGTCAAATATCACTGCTTTCTTCTATGACCAGTAATGATTGATTTAAAGATATCATATTTGGTTGTTTGAGCTTGTTCAATATTACAAATTGCTCTCTTAATTAGAAACTTTCAGAAGAGAAAATATATCTCTAAACTGCATCCAATGTTGGACAGTGTTCCCCAGGAGAGAGCTAAATTTCTTTAAATATCCAATATCATATTCTCTTATATATATATATTTCACAATAATATATTATTCAATGTATAGGTCTATTAGATACTTAAATATTTTTTTTAGACTAGATTAGAAACTCCAGTCCATCTCCCTGCAGTAGTTCTGAACACCTTAAAGTAATACAACCAGATTAGGTACTGGGAAAAGTACAGTCTTTCAAGTATGAGGTCTCCATATGTAAATTTTTAATATTCCTATCTTCAAATCATTCCACACTACAAAGCTGAAAACTGAATCTGTAATACACTTTCTACATCAGAATCTGCCACTTCAAGGTTTTCCAGCCTATACACTGCCTGTGAAATAGCAGCTTGCAGCTTACATCCCTTTACATCCTTTGTTTACTACTCGTTTTGTATTATGAAGCAGACCTATGAATCTGGCTATGTTTACTGTGATTGCTTCTGATTGTTCCTTGCTTCATCTTCTACATATTTAATTATACTTTGAGTTTATCATTTAAATCTTCTCTATACACAGGTGCAATCAAAATGGAGCCTCCTTCCCCACCCTATTTTTCAGAAAAAGTTCAGTTGTACAATAAACCTCATGAGGAGTCTTCCAACTCCCTTATGGCTATTGAATGCCGTGTGTGTGGGGACAAGGCCTCTGGATTTCATTATGGTGTGCATGCATGTGAGGGTTGTAAGGTAAGTTGTCACAAATGTATTTTTTCTGAAGTAAAATGTGATACTATTTTCATCTGAATAATCACTTGGTAAAATCAGAGATCTGTGCTTTTTAAAAAAAAGTTTTAGGTCTTTAAGTAAATTCTTCCACATGTACTGCATATACTTTATGACTTAATAAGTGGGAGGTTTTTTAAATACAATTTGCTTTTTCTATTTTTTTACTGACCTATTTGCATTTTTTGTGCATTTCTTTTACTTTTCAGTTATGCAGTTATATTTCATTCCTGCTCTCTTGGAGGTCACTTGCAGAATCTGAATTCATAGAACGCAGCAAAAGTAGGCTCATGCCCAACTCCAAAGTTCAATATTCTGAGCAATTTAAAATTCACAATCTGTTTTTCTGATTTATTAGAATTTCTTTACCCAATTTACACATTTCTAGGTGACTACAGAAAAGTCTAATAGTATTAAAGAATGTGGCTTTCTGCTTTAGAACTCCACCAGCTTTTTTTTTAATATCAATGATATTTAGTGTTTATAACATATAAAGGATAAATGAATGGTGTAAAAGTTGACCATCCTCAAGAATTAGAACAGAAATGTCAGAGAAAGAAATTAATAATAATTCATTGAGTTCAAAGAAAAATATTACAGAGTTTAATAGGAAATTCCCATCTTCTCTATTTTCAATATCTTGAGGAAAACAACTAATAGGAAAGACCCAATCCAGAGCTTAAATAAATTTTGTAGCACTGAATTAGGAACACACATAAAGCAATAAGTATGCTGTTGATTACTTAAATTACAGTGACTTATACAAATAAGAACTGGCATTATGCTTTTATTGTTATTATTCTCTGTGAGGAAAAATTAATTTTTACAAGGAACAAATGATAATAAATTTGGATAAACTTTATTAATAGATTATGAGTGATCTGAGAAAGCATCTTTAAACTGTAAAAAGACAGAATTGTGAATTTCCATAATGCTTTCTCTCTTTATAAGATATCATAAGACTTCTGTGTGATAATTTCTGTGAGTTCAGCACCAAGTTTTTGGATTTTTCATGTGCCAATGTACTTTGCAAACTTGTAATATCCAAACAATGGAGATAAAATAGAAAATAAAACAACCTAGAAAATAGAACCCAGAAATAAATATTGCAAAATTAATTCAGCACTGTGCAAAACCAAAGAAATAGAATAGATAAAAGAATATAAATTCTCTTTAAGTACTCGCGCTCAAAAAGGAAAATAAATATTCGAAATAGAATAAAAAATACTTAGCTGGGAAAGAAAACTTAAAAAAACCCAGATAACTGATAATCTTTTTTATTTACTTGAGATCAAACTGCTGTTGGCAGAATTTTTGGTTTGTTGTGATTTATAAAAAAATTTCTACATTGGTATTGAACTTTAAATTTTGAAAATGTCATGTTCACTTTACAGGAAATTGACCCATGAGCAGTGGAACAAACGAAGCTTTGCTTCCTTTGGCATAGTGTTCTTCATGCTCAGCATGTCTGTAGAGCTCTCAACTTATGTCCCTAGTGTCCTTTAAACACCATTGATTCCCATAAGCTTCCCCAGCTATTTGAGATTTTCACCCCTCTACCAAACTAGGTTGAAAATGTCTAATACGATCAGAACAGGAGCACACTGATAAGCAGACAGTATGATCACATGAGCCTTGCTTCCTTAGGAAATCTGTCTAAAACAAAGTTACATTCAGCGTGTACACAGAAAGGCACTTTGTATGTATAGAGAAGTGAGATGATGACACTGGCAGTTTCTGGCATCCTTTTACATGCTTTTATGTTTACTCCAGGGCTTTTTTCGAAGAACAATAAGATTAAAGCTAATATATGACAGGTGTGATCTTAATTGCCGCATCCATAAGAAAAGCAGAAATAAATGCCAATACTGCAGATTTCAGAAATGCCTTGCCGTTGGAATGTCACATAATGGTAAGTGTACATAGCATATTTAAAATGATAACATTTCATCTGAAAAATAACATGAAACATTAATATGATTACTGAATGTGCTGCTTTAACATCTAGAGTTTTCCGTTTCTTTACACTAGGCAGTTTAGAAACACGTATCAGAGAGATTGCCTCTGAGTTTAGGAGAGTATGTATATGATTGGAGATTACTTTCAATATAAAAATCAGATAGGTAGGTATCTGCTCTTCTCAATATAATACATAATGTAACGTATGAGTTGGTTTTACTCTCCATCATTCTTGCTCATTACACTGTTGGTCGTTCTTCCTGAACATATCCTGAACATATAATTGTTATTTTTCAGTTCATTGTCTTATTTTCTGACAAGACTCTTTTGTTTACTGTAGTTCAATATCCCTTTCCTGTAAGCAGTGAACTTCATTTAATAAAGAAAAATGGACTAGAGAATTTACTGAAACTTTGTGAATAATAACAACTTGAATTTGATGCATAGGATACTTATCGAGGACTGTTAGCATCACGAAGTTAACACTTCCTCATACTAGAACACAACATACTTTAAATGAATGGGCCAGACCCCATATTGTTTTAAAAAAACCTGTCCTCCTCCTTCCTAGGATACCCACATCTGGGCGTAGATTCCAATGTGTTCTAAGTAGGAGTGTAGTGTTTCTTAGCACGCCCATTCAGCTGTCGGCCTCTCATCATATAGTGTGTATAGCTGTGACTCCTGTGTAATATGCACTGTCTGACCTCTCCACCATCCAGAAGTGAATATCCCCTCCCATCTGTGAACTGTAAGCAGCGTTTCCATTTTGAATATGTTGCAGTCTTAGATTGCAAAGGTGTTTTCAATTGTATGTGGTTCTGTGATTGCCTTCTTTATCAGTAGGTAAGCAGGTAGCATTAAGCATATCAGGATACTGCTCTCTTGCATAGAATTTAGAAGATAGTCCCTCTGAACTTTAAAATTAACATATCAATTCATGTGGAAATACTTATGAATGTTTGGACAGAAAGACATAATGAAGATTCTTTGCTGCCTTGCTTTGGCAAAGTTGAGTAAAAACAGGAATTAAATGTCATAACATAGAGACTTATGTAATTCTAAGGGTAAAGAATTGCAAACATGACTGGGAAAATAATTTCTCTGTGGTTTTTTTAGAACTTTCATTATTTTCAATATAAAAAATGAGTGTACTGTCCCCAAGAGGAAAGCTTAACTGTGGTTTGTGAAGTTAATACATGCAGTGAATGTAAATTGGTATGGGAAATGTTTTGCTAATAGAAAACATGGTTTTCAAGTTCCTGGGATGCAACAGTAACACTTAAAAATAAATCTAATTTTGAAATGCTACTGTGGGTATTTTTATAGTAATTCAGGAGGTTTTATTATTATTATTTTCAAGGTGCATGCCAAATTCTCTCATAACCTAGCAACACAGCTTCCAATTATGTCAATGGGAACCATGTGCAGTTCTATCAAGAAGGGGAAGGCCAAGACCGTTCTCTTTGGCTTAGTAACATAAAGGACCCAAGAAATATTTTTAAAATTAACATTTCACCTGCCATTTCTTCCTGTTCAGCCACTGCCAAGGCAGAAGCTGTGGCACCAGCAGGGGCCATGCTATGGGAGTTGGGGGAGGCATGCAGAGGAGGGGAAAAGGGCAAAGCCATTTGTCCCAGGGCTTGAGGGAATGCTTCTATTTGCTCTCACGATTTCACCTAACAGGGAGTTAGTAGTGTTTATTTTCAAGTATTGGCTTCTGCATTTGCCTTTTTTGCCCACTCTGATTACATTACATTGCATGAAACAATACCCTCATTCCTCCATCATTTATAAACAAACACATTTATAAAAAAGAACTAAATTTCACCTTTGAAGACACAGGCCTATATAAAGAAGCATGCAGGAATGCAACACTGGATGTTGTCAATGACACTGAGACACATTTTTATGTTACATCTACAGATTAAAGTTCGTCCATTTGAGTACTGAATTTATCTGAATTTTAAATCCTTGGAATCAGAATGTGGATTATTTGTGCCTGAGGGTTCCAATCTATGACTGTCTTTGCACAGATATATTATTGCAAAATGAATAGGGCACTTACAAAGATGGGGAATGCAAGGAGACTTAGCAGCTACAACCACATTTTTTCACACATAAATGCTACATACCACTTGGCTGAAGGTTAAAAAAGACAGTAGTGTTCTCATGCTTTGAATATTGTTTTCCTTTCCTTCTCTAGCCACAGTGCTGCTCTGTGTTTAACCCTTAATTGCTAAGATTGTATTCTGAAGTACCACTAAGGAGAAGCTCGGTTCTTTTTTTTTTTTAGAAATTTCATTAATTTTTTCTCTTCTACTGAAAGTACTATTTATAGAAAAACCAACTACTGTAATGGGAAAAAGAGCACACATGGCAATATGTCTTTATTACCAGTTCTGGGAGCAGTGAATTGCTTAGTCTGGGCACGTGCCTCCAGTAAACTCAGACAGGTATCTGCCCTGGCTTCATCTTGTGTTTTCTAGTGTAAGAAACTGTGTTTATAGTCTATTTGGGGACTCATTTATGCTCAAAAAAAATCCATAATCTAGACAATGAGAACAGTAGAGTGCTGTACAGAATAGCGTATAAGCAATCGTAGTGACTTCTCCAAGCCATAAAAAGTGGCATAAGGATAAATATTCTATTTTTTTCACAGAAAGGCAAAGAATATAATGTAGCATGTAGTGTCTTACTATATTCACTATTGGTTTTATATTGCTGACATCTAGAGAATACTGTAAATGCAAGCAAATAAATAACTGCCAAAGAGAGAGAGATCATACATTCCAGCTGCAGGCACATGCCCAAATTTGCACAACCTTCTATTACTGTGAAAGAAATTGCCATCTGAACCCCTTCTACCCCTGCAGCACGAGCCATATTTCCAGATCTCTCATACCAGCTCACTGGCTTGTCCCTGCCCTTCCTGCCCCTGCAGATCCTGCCTTGATCCACTGCCCAGGCTCCCAGGAGATAAGGAAGCTGGGCCTGTTGCAAGGGTAGGTGCAGGAAGGAGAAGACAGAGTAGCAAGGAGGATAAGTGGTCCAGGGAAACAGAAGATGAGGCCAGAGCCACAGGAGGGAGGTGGAGACAGAAGCAGAAAAGGGAGAAGATCATGCCACCCATCCTTTAAATTTTCCTCAACCACCAAAAATGCTGTGAACGCTTATCCACTCTGTGAACTCTCCCTTTTCCACCCTAACCTCTATGTATCACCAATCCCTCCTACTTTTCCTCTCACCCAAAATCCCACTAAATTCCTTCTGTAAACCTCCTGGTGCCTGACCTCTTCCTGACTTTTGTCTCAGTCCCCTGAAAATGACAATGACTTCTCCAAAAGTAAACTACTAGGCTAGTACCACAAAATTCAATTTTGCCTGCAATGCTAATAAACATTGAACAGAATCTGCTGCAACTAATACAATTATTTTAAAAATATATTCTAAACATTAAAAAAAATTTTGAAAACTATCCTTTTACCTATCAAATTATAAGATAGGAATGTTTGATTCACAACTCTCTAACTTTATGTTGTTAATGAATTTTTATATTTAAAATACATTTTAGGGTCCTGATCGCCTTCTGTTTAGGAAAATTTATTCTCATAATTCATGAATTACATCAGAAATCTTCCAAGACCCATATTTTCATGAAATAGGAACAGAGTTTGAAACTGGATCATGAGAGATTCACTGCTATTAGTCCATCCCAAAAACACATATTTAGAAAGAACAAACATATGCAGAAATGATAGATTGCTAATAAATGTACAATCCATACAAAAATAAACATGCATAACCAACTTTACCCCAACACAAGAAAATATTATGAGATTCCTCAGGGATTTTATTATTGCCAAATTATTTTATGTAAAAGTCTGATATTATGACGGCAAGCAACAAGGTACACCGTAAGGATTAATATAGTACAAAACCCAGTAAGATGTCATTTCCACTTTTAGTGAAGTCAATTCACGTATTTAGAAGAAGGCTTGGTCCTATCTGCTAAATGCAAGCTCTGCTAATGTTAGTGGCTGTTTTGCTGAACTGATAGACAACTGATAGACACATGATCTGATAGCTGGCAATACCACTCAAGCGGGTTGTTAAACCAAGGATAGGTGTTCTAGGCCAGTAAGAGATAACCCCCGCTATACTGCTTTGATTAGCTTATCAGCTAGTGCATTCTTTGATAATAATGGGCAGTTTGAACTGATCTGACATTGATGTAATAGCTTTCTGTGCTATGACTAAGCTTTGTTATATCTAACACAGTTCTGAATGCAGTATGCAAGCATTCAAGAATAGAAGTTAGTGCTTATAACCTAGTTTACTATATAACAACATATCTGCTAATTTTCTTTCAAAGTAATCTTGGCATTTTAACAGAGGTGCTATATAATTCAATGTTACCTTTGGCAGTAGTACTTATTTCTTTTGTTATTTGGGGGGGAGGGGGTTCCTTTTTCATTTACACAGAAGGAATTTAAAATAATCTTTTTTTAAAAAGAAACCAGGAATCTGATCTTTGTAGAAAAATTAGCATCATGAGGCCCCAATCCTATGCCAAATAAAAATACATAGCAAATTTCTATGCAGCTTTAATCATGTATCTTTTGATATAGTCTTCCTCTGCGTCTTTGGGCTTTAACTCCAAAATAGATTATACATAAGGGTGCTTGCATTCATAAAATTTAGCACAGTGAAGACAATGCACTGATTTAACATAAATGTTCACAGGGATTTTTGACTGCATATATAAAAATTCTCGAAACATGGAAACAAAGAATTAGACACGATTCCAACAAGGAAGAGTACTGAAACAAACAACAAAGTAATAAATAATATTTGGGGTTTATAGCACTTTTCATGCAGAGATCTCAAAGCACTTTTCAAGAAAATAAGTATCACCATCACAAGCAAAATAAAAATAAATGATCAGGGAAAGAAGGCATCTACTCTAGAACTATTAACAGTAAATGAAATATTAACAGTATGATGAACTCCAATGCAATCTGTAAATTAATGGAAATAATTTTATATTAGAAGCACCAGGTCTTATAACGCATGCCTACTTTGCAAAGATAACTTGGTATCCTTTGTTGGGGATAGAGAAGCACACCAGAAACATGATTCTCGAACACTCTTAGTCATTCATGTTTTCCATTAAAAAAGAAAACACAATGTAAGTTGTCATTTATTACAAATTCTACACCAGTACTATTGTAAACTTTTAACAGAGAACTGTCAACGATGTGTTGTTTAGTAATACCAAGTTGCTAGCACAAATACTGTAATTTACTTTCCAAGAGACTCTGGGACAGGAGACGAGACTCTGCACAGGAATCAGGGTATAGGATTAGGGACATATTTAGAAAACATCGTATACATATTATGCTATCATTTTGTAGTCAAAACTAAAAGTAAGCCTATTTTATACTGGCAGTATCAGTGCAACAGTAGATACAGTTATGTGGAAAACTGCCATAAGTTTTAAAAAAGAAACTATCCCCCTCAATTCAGACAAACTTACTTGAAAAAAACAGGCACTAGTCTATTCACCCATGTATGAATTTCTAGCAAGATGTTTGTTACCAGTCTGGTTTCTGTTCTTTAAAAGAATACAAAAGACATACAGCTTAGTCAGTTATTCCCTAATGACAAAACAATTTCTGTTTTGAAAATCCCTGATCTCCCTGATCTTTTCAATAACATCTCTACACTAAACAATTCTATTTCAGTAATCAGTGTCATGGTATCTACACTGTGGTATATCATTAAGAATGTTCCAGTAGATACTTGGGGGGGATGGAGGGGTGCAGGGGAGAGAAAAAAAAAAAAGTGGAAAAAAAGAAAATAAATTCCTATTGTTTTTAATTCCTTGGGGAACTGTATAAACTACTTAGAGCTAAGGTAACATAAAAATATAGTAAGAGGAAGCAATAGACTGTCTCTTTTTTTTTAATACCTTTTTGAAAAAATAAACTTGATGAGAGGGAGTCTTATGCCAATGAGATTCCAGGTTATAAACTTGCTTCTGCAAACCCCAACTCTCAAGAACAGGCTGACAACAGAATCATGTCTCATACTGGTGTTCAGTCAAGCTCCATTTCCATAATACTTAGAGTTAGTATGCTTACAGAATGAACTTACAGAATTCAAATTAGGCTGGTAGGGATGCATAATTTATTGTAAACATATTATAAAGGTATTATATATAATATTATAGATGTATTCCATGTAAAATATCAAAATAGTTTACAAGTAGGTTTTATCATACCAAAACATTTTTCTGGCCCAAAACACCTAGTTCCTAATATGATTGTGAAATGTCTCAAAGAACATGTTTCTTTGAGTTCCTAAGTATTTCTTACTATATGTTTAGAAGTCTTCAGGTCGTAATAAATTGCACTGCATATATTTCTGGAAGTGATTAACATTTTATAGTCATGGGCAACTCTGATGTCCCTTTTTTATTAACAGTCTTTTAGATCAGGCTATTTGCCTTACTTTCTTTCCAGATTAAAAGGTCCACTGTAATACTCTGAGAAGTCTTTCCAGATTTCACTTAGGTCTTCAGTTTGCAAATTCTTCCTCAAAAAAAAAAGATGGTGAGGAGGAGTTGAATTTGTTGGCAAGAACCCAACCAGTAGCATCAAAGTATCACAAGATTTTTTCCATTGATGAAGCTATTGCAAAATGCACATTTGAAAAGTGGACAAATTAATCATAAAACATAATCCTATAAATTTCACAAATTTAATATTAAATTAATTTTAAATCTGAAACCAGGTTTAGTGAAGAACATAATGGCTTTTAATGAAAATACGAATTTAACAAATGTCTAGCTGCACTGTTCAACATGGACATTTAATTAACCTTTAACATTTTTATTAGCTATATTATTATTTTAACACCTTCTTGACCCCACATTTTAGTTATATGTGCTGTCCCTGTAACAACTTCTTACAATATGTATGTAATAATATATTTTTAGCTTTAGTATGTTGCTGACAGTTTGATTCTTTTTATTGAATCAGTCCTTAAGTATCAGAAAAAAAAAAATGTGGAAATGCTATAACATATTCTCAGTGAGTTTTCACTCTATTTACTTCATTAAATACTCATACTTCATTCATTTTACATCTTCAAGAATGTCTAAAATGCAGTTATTAGTATCATGGGTTTAAGGTTATCAACATCCATACATGTTTTTTTAAAAAAAACAGAAAGGATTTGTGTTAACTACAAATACAAGTTTTTAATAGTGAGAGAATCCATTTTAACTGCAAAATGAAAATACCAATATGGTCTTGATTCACAGTGTTCGTGGAAGCATATGCAGCTGAATTAATTCCTTTATAGTTATGCTGAATTTTTTCATCTTTTTATTTAGGTTACACTAAGTACAAATATGAACTCTTATTTTGTTTGATATCAATTTTTTATACATCACTAACATTACCATATGTCCATCCATTCACATTACTTCTTTACAGAATGGTGTCAGTCTCTCTGAGCCATTGTAGTATGTCATATAAACTAATATGAAGTTAATAATTTTTCTGTAAATGTTTTGCTCTCAGAAGAAAGGAGGGCAGTGATGTCTCCCTGAAAACTATTGTTAGTAGCTGATTAAGAATACTTAGTGTTTCCCATAAGAGAGAAAAAAATACATATGCCATGTATATGTGATCCAAAACAAATATCAGTTGGCAATTATTCAAAATTTCCCATACGAAAAAAATTGTAGGCAAAAGACATTTGGGGGGGGTGGAATAGAGTAAGTTAGTTTGTACTTATTGAACTAGGTTTCCTTTCATGATGATTTTTATTCTGACATGTTAACTCTAAGAATACCTGAGCAAATGTGAAATATACAGCATGCATCATTCGGAGACTAAGTTTGCTGAAAGAGAAATGTAGTACAGTTGTAAAAATAAACAACCTTGTTTCTACAGCCATGAGATAAGAGAACTGATCACTAAATATAATATATGACAAATGGGTTTTTTATGTTTTCTGGCACAATTATTTATTCCTGAAAAAAAGTGTCATTTTTGTCCATCAGCACACTGCAAGCAAACTCATAAAGGAAAGTGGCTGGTCATTTCCAAAACAAACGTCCCTAGTATAATCATTCATATGTATGATCTTAACAGCACTTTTATCCAGGGAAGACACTAATCGCTGAAAAAATATTTATAATATTTCTATTCCTCCTAAGGCCAAAATGCAAACCCTTGTTTCTTCCTTCTGTTTTTTGTTTTGATGCTCTTTTGTTCTGTTTTGTTTTTGTAAAATAAAATAAATTCTGTTTACTGAAATACCATATGATAAATCAGTCTTGATCTTGATGGCTCATTCGAAATATTTTCCAAGTCAGTCCCCATATGAATAAATAGTGTCTTGGACAGTAAGTACATAGATGTAAAAGTAGGAGGTTTACAGCCTGCCTGCCTGCCTTACCTTGGTACTGAGCAACTGTGAGATCGTATGTCTCGGTAGAACCATTTTCTGTGCTTCCAATAGTGCAGGCGCGTAGAGTTACCATGAAGAACTCAGCCTTTTCTGGCTTTTTTATTTCCTGCGCAACCTTCTTTCTCATTCCTTAATTCTTTTGGTAACATTTTATAGCACTTGCTACATTAAGTTCTGTTGTACTATTTAGGAATTTATTCCTGCAAGGCATGCAAGTGTTTTGTTTCTAAACAAATGAAGAATCTGAGATCCATATGGTGATTTGCCCAAAACAATACGAGGCTGAAAGGTGGTTCCTACCCTAGGCCAACAGAATTTTAATATCTTAAAGATTCTTTAAATTTTATTTAGGTTGGAGGTAGAATTGGTGGTTTTCACCAACTCTGTCAGGTAAGCTGACAGTAGGTTTGCATTTCCAAACAAGATATTGTAATCTTACTGTTTCGGCACATAGATTATTTCCTCTTTGAGATTTGTTTGTTTACATTTCTTTAAAGCACTGCAGCTGTTTTGCCTATATTACTGGAGAAAATAATCTTTTTTTTTACTTGCCTAAGTACTGTTTAAATAAAAACTTCAAGAGATTGTAACAAAAGGTGACATAAAAAGCTATTCAAATGTGCTTTTTTAGGTGCAACTATAGCTATAGTAATTGCTTGTCATCTTCTTCAGCCATCAGGTTTGGGCGAATGCCACAAGCGGAGAAGGAGAAGCTCTTGGCAGAGATTTCCAGCGACATCGACCAGTTAAACCCTGAATCTGCTGATCTACGAGCACTTGCCAAGCATTTGTATGACTCATACATAAAGTCCTTCCCTCTGACCAAAGCCAAGGCGAGGGCGATCTTGACAGGAAAGACGACAGACAAATCAGTTAGTTCCCTCTGTTGTTTTTTTTTTTTCCTTTCTTTTGAGTAAATGATTTACCACATTGACAACACATCTTTAAAAAAAAAAAAAAAAAAAACCACAAAAAACTTTGCTGTTGGCAGTTACATATTTCAAGCTGTGTCTGAAACACAGGAAATGTTTTTAGATAGGATAAGTAAACATTATTTGAAAAAACTCCAAGTTCACCTAATAAAATACTTGAAACTAGTACAAGAATTTGAAGGTCATCTTAACCTTTTTGTATTCTCTGATCCACTCTTCCCGTTTTCCTTCTCCTTCACCAAAGGTTATCTTCCACACTATCTGTTTAAGGTGGCTATCTAGCTGTCAGGAATTGGTTGCCATACTATTCAAGCATCCGTATCATATCATATTATCAGTACTAGCTGTTCCCAAAGGAATATTCTTTTTCATAAGTATCAAATGATTCCCAGTACCAACACCATCATTAGCCTTAACTATGGTGCTTATTCTTATGATGTTCTGACGAATTCCTGCATTTAACTGGGTTATCTTGGATCAGATCAGTATCCTGTGTTGGTGCAATTTGAATTTTAGGAGAATGTACAACAAAATCTTTGAAAAGTAAGGAATAGAGATATGTGTATTTGTGGGTTGCCTTGGAAACTTTACTGGCAATACATAACAACCTTCTGTATCAGTGAGAAGGAGGATAAATAAGATCTGATAATTATGAAGGTTTTAAATTTTGTCACTATTTTAACACCTAAAGAGCAAAATAGTTTTCCAAAACTTATAACTCCTAGTTTGTTTTATAGAATCATTGGCAGACACTTTATTGTCAAGATTACAACAGAAACTGTATTTAATTTTCTTCAGTAATTTCAAAGACAGGAAAGAATTTGGAGGTATTTTAGGCGTTCTTTCTTTAAAGGCAGTTAAAATCATAATTTAAATATTGTCCCTAATTTGGTTGTACCCCTCACATAAAAACTTCAGATATGGTGGACACTTACAATTTGAGTAACTTTTCATCATGGAGTATATAAAGTTTGAACTAGCATAGTTTATTTATTCTGCAGAAAGCTGATACACTAATTCCACTTGAGCATCGCTGCTTTTTCCAAATCTTTCCACAGTTCCCTCTCTATATCAGAAACATAGGTTACTGGAAAGAATTAATACAGCAATTTAGTTTTTTTAAGTGTGTTCTCAATAACTATGTACCTGCATTAGGCAACAGAATAGAAGTGGGGTGTGTAATTATATATCTTCTTTACTCCTCTTCATCCTAAAAATGTCACCACGAGGCCTGCTCCCTTTTTCTGCAGCTGCCCACTGTGCACACTCTGGAACACGACAGAAGTTTGGGCAGGGTTACCTACAGTGCTCTCATCTTCTTTTTTTCCAGATGTGTGTTGAGAAATCTGGGACGTTTGTTTCTGAGGTCCCAAGTGCATCCACAGATCCTACTTTTGTTCTGCAAGGTTCTAGGAAGTTGTCGTAGAAATCAATTGGCGTGTGGTTTGCTGCTCTGCTGTTCTGAGTACTTAACAATGGTCTGGGCTTATGAAACTTGATCATGTCTGAAAGTTACACTAATGCAATACTCATGCAGTAAATATACAGTACGCCATCAACGATGTTCTCTTTTTTTAATTGAAAGCTTTAACACTTTGTCAGATTAGAATATAGCAATAAACCAATAGACATAGAATTCAGCTTTTCATTGCTGCAAATTTCCAAGTCTTTTTTTAAAAAATAACACTGAAAGGGTGACACTCAGTATTTAATGGTTACAACTTCCATATTATTTGAATTGTAATGGACTTTGTGCTCTGGAACATCAAACTGTTTACTATGGGCATAGTTTAAATGTACGTTATTTTTTAATTGCTATATCATCTGCATTATCTGAAAATTATTGGATATGCTAAGTGTGTGTGCCAAAACTAAAATGACTAACTCATCCTCTTCTGGGATATACAGTGCTCATTTGACATAACATTCTGCTCACAAGGTTCATCTGAATCTTTATATTAAAAATTTCTTTAGCTCTTTTGAACTTTTTCTTGATTTTCATCTTCTAATGTCAGTAGGCTGGTGGCATAGTATAGTCTTTCTAAAGCACATGTACATGCACAGAATAGATGACTTTTTTCTTGTACTTGGTGCTCCCACTTAAGATTTTCTAGAAAGAAAAGGAAGGAATGACCTACTAGTACTAAAACATGCATTTTAAAAGCCTCCTCTACAGTCTTGTTTTTCCACTATTTTGCATATGCGTGCACATACATATGCACAGATATGTATAAAATGTTTTTTCTGCTGCCAAAATAGCATTACATCTTGAAAAATACTTTATCCTCCTGGCTTTTCTCAGTGCAGTGTGTTTATTTTTTCAGTTTCACACTGAAATCCTAGTGCAAGTGGAAAAATAGTGTCACACCTCACACTCTATTTAACAGAATCTCATGGTCTGGAGCTATGTTTGCCTGTGGTTGCTTGTGAAACTGACAGCACTAGTTTTATTGGTCTTGTAAGCAGCAGAGTATTGATTTTTAACTAACCCATTTTGAAAGCTGAAATCCTCTTGTGCAGATCCTATTATTTCAGTTCACAGACAGACCTCTCTTTTCCGAGCAGCTGTATCAGTTAGACAAAACTGTTAGCTGTCATCCCGCCCTCTCTTCCTAGTGAAAGCGGGTCAGAGCTTTGTGCTCGACTTAGCCTGAAACAGATGACCAAACGCTTCCACAGTCTCCATCTGCAGAGCTATGGGAGATGGGAGAAGTAACCTCTAGCTGGTGGGTAGTGATAAGCATCTGGGCAATATCGTCTTCAGAAAGTAGCTATTTTCAGTTTTAAAAATTCCATAATAATTTAGCACTCAATTTAGACTTCAAAACTGGTTTAGTCAAATAGGAATAGAATTTTAGGAGTTTCCAGAAACTGATCTGTGGGAGAGGAACACTGACTACATATAGGAAGTCTTGGGTTATTTCTGAATCTGTTCTGCAACATATAGTGGATATAAAACCATGAGAGTGAGCACCCACATGAATAAGGCATTAGAATCTGTAATCATAAAGGATCTTAAATTAAAAAATGCATTTCTTTTGTCCAATTGTTGGTGTATAATTCCTGCTGTTTTAATTAATTACTCAAGTATGTTAACAAACCTATTAATATCAGTAGATATTTGTTCAGTGCAGCGATGAACTATTTAGTCATCTATCCTCTAAGGAAAAGATTCTTCAGATAAATTCAAGAAATCCTCACTTAACCACTTCTTTAAAACCAGGGGCTGCTTCTGCATATTCTGAAACAGAGAGTTTCCATATCCTAACAAAAGTTTTCCAGGCACTACTTTTTCTAATCTGCTTTCAAAATTGGTTTATTCTATGTGAGTTTATTTCAGTCGGACTCATTCTTGTGTTCTCAATTGTGCTGCTGTAGTTTGTATCACATTATTTGTGTTTTCTTTCCCATTGACAAGTTGTTTGAATTTAAATATATCCTAACTGTTATTTTTAAAGGAATTAACAGCAAAAGGTTAAATTTATCAGATAACCAATACCATAAACTTGATATTACTTGCAGTATTTTCTAGAAGGATAGAACTTGAAAAGAATGTGACAGTATATGAAGTAATCAAAATATGAATATACTCTGTCTTTCTACAAAAAAGAAGTTATATCATCAGAAGTGCAAACACATCACTGTACACTTACTAGATTCTGTTTTATAGAAGCCATTAAAATTCAGGTAAAAGGAGTAACATTTTAATCTTTTGTTAACAAGCATTCCAAACTTCGAATTGTGGTATTACAGAACTTCTGCAAAGCAAACAAAAAACCAAACCAAAACAAAACAAAAAGCTGCAAAAATCATGGATATTTTAAAACAGTGTTCCTTACCCCCTGCCCCCAATTATTCAAAAAGTATCAGCCAAAGTCCTATTTTTAGAATGTGGATTCACGGAACATGTGAGAAGTCCTTAAGAACTACTTGTCCTTTCTGTAAATCATTTTAACATTGTGAGGAAATTTGCTTTAATAGGTTTATGAAGATTTAACCCTTTTAGGTCAACTACCCTTGATATATTCCTCATAGATTTCTAAGTGCTTTCTGATGAGTTATACCTCTGTATGCTACTTCAGTTTCTCAGGTGTCAAATGTTCATAGAAAGGACATTTGAAAGTAAATTGTCTTTTCCTTTTATTTTTAGCCATTTGTTATTTATGACATGAACTCTTTGATGATGGGAGAAGATCAGATCAAGTGCAAGCATGTGTCACCACTGCAGGAGGAGAACAAAGAGGTAGCAATTCGCATTTTCCAGCGATGTCAGTTTCGCTCAGTGGAGGCAGTGCAGGAGATTACAGAATTTGCCAAGAACATTCCAGGTTTTGTGAATCTTGACCTGAATGATCAAGTAACTCTCCTGAAATATGGGGTCCATGAGATCATATATACTCTCCTGGCTTCTCTGATGAATAAAGATGGAGTTCTTATATCTGATGGACAAGGATTCATGACACGAGAGTTTCTGAAGAGCCTGAGAAAACCTTTTTGTGACTTTATGGAACCCAAGTTTGAGTTTGCTGTGAAGTTCAATGCACTGGAATTAGATGACAGTGACCTGGCAATATTTATAGCTGTCATTATACTAAGTGGAGGTAAGTGCTGTCTTATTTAATATGATATTTTATATAATAGAATTGATACTTCTAATTCCTGTCCAAACAGGAAAGTGCTCAGCACTACAGGATGGGAGTGAGTTTATTTACACGTAGTTTTTAATTAATTTTCAGCTTTCTGGATGTTGTTTGCCCTCTTTTCAGTTTCAGGCAGAAGCTGAAAATGTAAATGACCTGATATTAATGACAGAGCTGGAAATGCCTGCTGAATCAGTAGTTAATTTAGTTAGAAAACAAAATCAGGACTGACTATCTGAAAACAGGAAGGGTGGAATTTCACTGACAAGAGCTTCTAAAAGTCAAAATTCTGCATGAGGGTTTTTTAAACCTGCAATTAGATTGTGTGGCTTGCTAATTGTACACAAGTAGCTTTGACTCCATAACAATTTCAAAATATATGTTGCATTTGGCTTACAGGATTGTTCTGGTGTTTTTTTATTGTTGTTGTTGTTTTTTCATTTGTGCAAGGTTTTGTTTGCCTTTAAAGGGGAGGGGGAGAATGCATTTCTCAGGAAAACGATGATCTTCTAATGCCTGAGAAAAACAGGCATTGTGTGTCTGCTCTGTTCAGATTTCATAAGCTGCTCTGTTTGTATTAATCTTTATGCATTATGCTTTGAACAAAGCATGAATCTGAAAGCCCAGGTACCAGACTACACAGATTCTAACACTTCTTTAAAAAGGACACTGCATTTTCAGCTTTTTTTAAGTCAGTATGTTCTATCTGATTCTGAGCTGATGTAGCTATTACACTTTGTGAATTAGCAAGTGCTACCCCGATTTAGTTCACTTAGAAACATTTCCACTGAGAATCTGAGATATCAGATATATGTTTCAGGTCAGATTGAAGGTCTTTTACTTTGGCCAATAGTATCAAGTTAGTGATGTCGCACAAAGAAAAATTTACCCTACTGATTTGTGTGTATTTTGGCTTAGATTGTTACTGCAGATATCAATGGGAGGAATGTGCTGAATGTTCTGAATTCAGATCCTCCACAAAGCAATGCAGAGTATTTTGTTATTAAATTATGTTTAAGCAATCAAACACAACAACCACATGCTATTGTTCTAAAAACAAACATTTTGTTGAGAGTGCATTGTTACGTATAGCTTCATTTAAAATCACATACAATTACTTCTGGCATTGTGTTTCATTCAGTAAAAATGTGGTATCACAGTATAGTTTATTAGACTAACTAAATCCACTTCAAGCAAGTACACGTCCCAGAAGACATTTTCTTGTGCAAACCTTTGAACACAATGATCCCTGAGGACTCTGAATTAATTCAGGAAGGGAAAATAAGTTACTGGTATATTTTCAGTTGGGTCTGATGGGGGAGGAGAAACTATACAAGCCTATTAGGGTACTAAACAAAACATGCCAACATTTTGCATTTTCTAATATAATGAAATTTGACAGATGAGAAACAGGCCTCTCAAAATCCACTTCTAATCGAAAAAAGGGAACTTGCAGTCTGCAAAGCTAGGTCTGCTATGCTTCAGTGATGTTTGGTTTACATTAGAGGAAATAGGTATGATGTAACTAATCTTACATTTTAGATCTCAGGAGGACGACGGTCCACAGAAAAAAATTGACTGTGTTGAATCAGATTTATCAACAAGTCTTTCTTTTTTAAGAATAATTTGTAAACAGAGATCCATAAAAAACTACTGAATTTTAAGTTAGTTCTTAAATAACTCTGAAGCAAATCCATATAAATATATAAATCCATATAAATATAAATCAGTCCTTTCTAGGAAAATCCTTTAATTTCTTGACAACAAAGATCTCTCACTATCTTCATATAGAACTTTTTTTTTTTCCAAAAAACCACGATAGTTATTTGTAAAAATTGAGTTTATCTTTTGAAAACAATTAAGCTTTGCTGCCAATTAGAGAATGGCTTTTATCATGGAATTTACAGGCAGATATGATATATATTGAATGCATTCTGTGGGACTATAATATCTTATGTGGTATGGAATTGAAATCTTATTTCTCAGATGTTTCGGATGCTCTTGTTTCTGTAAGAGCTATGTTCTTACAAAACTCAGTTTCTGTAAGAACTATATGAACATCGAACCAGGATTATTTAATTGAAAATAGGATTTCAAAACCAGTTCATCTTACCTCAAGGACTTTATTAGCTGCAGGAATGCTGTAATGTTTAAGTCACTTCAAGAAATCGTGTGTACAAATATGTTAAAAAGAAAATCAGTTTGTGAAATGAAAAAAGATCCTAGCCAAATGCTCTAACTCTAAGTGAATCTGTTATTGACTAGCAAAATTATGCTAGTTCTGCCGGCTCCACGGGTGCTCTCTCTTATACACCTCTAAAAAGAAGAAAAGAGAAGGGGAAGGAAAAGAGAAAGATAATTCCAGCTGGAACATTACATGTAGAAAGCTTTTCATTGTGAAGTAAGTGTTTGGAATTTGCCACAAATCCTATAAAACAGTTCAGCCTTTTGATATCGTAAGAATTGCTTTTGCATTCTATGTAAAAAGGCAAAATGCCCATATAACAATAATAAGAAGCTGGCAAATTAACTGTAATAGCAACAAAATGAAAGTACTCCCACTTTACAGTCAATCATTTTATTGTTTCTGAGCTGCTCAGTGCAGTCTCTGTCTTAATGATCCCAAATGTTACTCTGAACTCATTATTACAAAGACGAAAAGTTGTTCTTAATGTTGGTATATTGTGCTTTAAAACAATACTGTAAATGCCAAACAAATTGTAGTATTCTGAATTTAATGCTGATGAGACAGAGAGACTATGTGTGTGAGCAGTAGGATATTACCTTGATTTTGCAAAAGAAATGCTTTATGCCATTAACAGCAATGCCAAACTCTCATTACAATATTCTTTTACTTATGGTAGCTTTGAAAAGTATGCTTTGGTAAAATGAGATTTGGAAAACTTTTTTCAAGAAGATATTCTTCCTCCCCGTTGTATTCCTCTGTGCCACTGAGGCATATCCTCAGCCAGTAGTGAGTGCTATGGTATAGATGTTAAAGAACTTGAACCATCTTTAAAAATATTATATATACCTGAGCTGATGAAGTCTATCATAAGAAGGTTTAAAGAGAACAAGTTGGATGTCTGTGTTTGGGCAGGAAAGATAGAAGTCCAAGCCTTATTGGGATAATCCTCATTTATAAACAGAGCAAACTCACTCAAGCAGGTTATTGTCAAATAAAGAAAAAGCTCAAAAGGTAATTTTATGGCATGTTTACATATCATGGATGGACTTGAACTTTTGTATATTATCTTCTGCAGTGTTTAGGATATAGTGGTGTTTGGGAATTATAGTGGGGTATACTCGTAAAGACCCAGACTCTGTTAGTCAACATGCAGTCAAACTAGTATTTGAGTTCAGAAATGCTGCTACATTCACTTTTTCTGTTTTCTGAGTGTGTTCTTTACAGTAAGTTTTGAGCCGTGAATCACTGCTGATTATTTAAACACTATACTCAATAATTTTGCTACAATCTGAGATCAGCAAATTTTGAAGTTTTATCACTGAATAGTACCAAGAAATAGTTCATATTTGACTGCTACACAAATCCTGCTCTAGCAAACCTGTTGGAATGAAGAAATGCTCCATAATCAGGCCAAAAACTGCAGATAATCACTGTGGGCTTTTAACAAAAATCCTGGTGACTGCAATACATGTGACGGTCTCAGAAGAAAAACCTCAAACTGCTGAGTCATATCTGCCTCAGCAAAAGAAGTAGCACAGTTGCTCAGTCAGCCATATCTTTGACTGTTTTTCATATTAAGATTTTAGAATGTGTATTTAAATGCAAAATGCACTTAATCAAAGATATTAAAATATAAAGGTATGGGTAAAGGCATGCTGATGGCAATTTCATATGTGAGGAACAGAAAAAAGTTGTAATTATTGTTAGGAATCTGAAAGAAGCATCCAAATCTGTAAGTAAATAAACAAACAAAATATTTTTCCCTGAGATAGTATAGAACACTATTTACACAAAGTCATACTGTTGACACTCAAAACTAAGGGGCTATTAGCCTTTCCCTGTCGCTGTGAACATTTTCTTACTTAGAACAGCTTCCTGCAGAATTTTCAAACCAAGTGAAACAGCCATATGACAATGGATGAAAACCTAAAGAAAAACTGAATAAAGAAAAGTAATAATAAAAAGAGAAATGTGGTATTCTCTTGGCATAGTCTGAATGGATAAAAGGCAGGTTGCAAATAGCACATAAAAACCCCTAAACTTCTATCAACAATCTGCACTATCACAGAGGTTTAAAAGTGGTGTCTAATTCACTTTTAGTTATCTCTTACCTTAATCATTTCAACACATTGTCCTTTGGCCTTCTGTAACCTAATTTCACTGTATCATAAGAATGTCCTGCTACAACTCATTAGTTTCTGTCTTTCGCTTCCCTCATCAGTTCCCTTTGCAGTTTTCTCTGTGAGCTTTCACACAGCGATTTTGTCTTAGCCTCTTCAAAGGCATCCACCACAGTGTCACATCTTGTTTACTCCCATTTCTGTTTCTTCCTCTTCTCCATCTAAATTTTTCTCAAGGCTTATTGTTAATCATTTCCTTTGCATTTTTTTTCTACAAGCCACATCTATCTGGAGCTCCTTACTGCACAAAATACAGTACAGTACAATTGGTACAGTAACCCAATGGGTCTGGAGCATATATATTTAAGAGCATCTTAACAACTTGAAATATACCATAATACCTATATAGTAAAGCTTTTGCCTCTTATTTCCTCTTTTTCTGATTTAGGTAAGTTTCTTGGAACAGAGACAGCATTTTCCTCTGGAAGAAATTTTTACTGAGAAAGTATAGCAAACTGTCAACACCCAAAAAATAATGTCCATATCCTGAAGTTCTTATTCATGACAAATCTCTCTTGCCTTCAATGGGAATTTTCCTTCCTCTTGAATTGGCTTATTTAAAAATAACATCTGATGATCTGCTAGGCTTTTGTCATAGTCATCTTTTCTGACTCCAGTTCTACTGGGTCATTCTAAAACCATTAGACTGGGTTTTTCAAAGGAGCTTAAGGATTTTAGGCGCTTAAGTCTCACTGAACTTCAGTTGACCTTTGGCACCTGAATTCGGGGGGCTCCTTGGTAAGTTCCAGACTCAGTACTGATCTCCTGGGTTTGCCTCCTAAAGTTGTGTGGGCAGCACAATGTTTGCACTGGGTTTCACATCTGAAAAACTCACACCCTAAAAATTCCCACCATAAAAGAACCAGGGGGCAAATGGAGATTAATCTCAGAGGAAATCAAGGCCACAGTCTTTGTGCTTTTTGATTTTTTTTTTATCACTGTACACTGAGTCATACCCAGCTAGTTCAGAGTTCGTCTGCAACACAGAAGTAAAATTTAAAGCTACCGCAACCCAAAGCCAAAATGATTAACAGCTTTGAAGTACTGAAATTTGGGAAGTTTCTGAAAGATATAAAGAAGGCAACTCGATTTTGCAGCACATGCAATGCATTTAGGTAATCTAAAAATAAATATCTAAAATTTATCAAAAATCCTCTAAGTATCTTTAAAAAATTACTTGGTAATAGTGCCAAAGGAAATTAATAAAAAGGAGGCATTTATTTGGAGAAAATTTTCTGCTTGCAGATACTTATTTACAGACTTTCTGAACCACATTTTATGGTATTATCAATTGAATGGTATAAAGAAGTGATCTCTGCAAGACAAGCACAGCTTATTAGGATGAAATACCAAATGGAAAGAGGAGCCAAATGGGTCACTGAGTCCCGTCACCTACAACTGAAAGCAGTCACTTCCTAAAACCACCGTCAAACAAATATCAAGCTCCATACTCAAACTTGCCATTATTCCTATTGCTGAAAAACTATCCCCAAACCTCACCTCTTTGAGAGTTAACTATCCTTTCCTAATCAGTGACCTACATGTATTCATGGCTTGTGTATACTCATTTGTTTTCATGCCAACTTTGCCTTTTAGTTTACACTCCAATTTTTGATCCGTGAAGTAAAACCCCAATGTATTTATAAAGAGCTTTGTCTTCTCTCAGCCTTTTTTCCAGTATACAAAACAAGCCAAGCTGAGTTAGTAGAACTGGATGCACAGAAAGGTTACTAAGATCACAGGAAATAACAGCCTATTTTTTTTAATTTTTAATCTAGATCATCCGCTTGTCCTTTCTGAAATGGAAATATTGCCTTAGGGAAGTAATTTAAGGCTAGCTATAGGCACTGCTTTTTATTGATCAACCTATGAAATTATTTCATAGCTACACAGCAAATGTTGTTTAAATTATTAACTGTTTTTTCATGGAGTATTCTGATAAATCAGGATGCATTACCAAGTACAAAGTAGTTCAGCAGTAACAAATTACTGATGGTCATTGTCATATGTGAGGATTTAACGTTAAGCAACTTTATTAACTTTCATGACTGTAGAATCAAATCATTTATTACCTCAAGTTAGAAAACAAATGTTACAAATTATGTTAAATAATAATTGCAACCACTTAAGAAGGTATTTGGGGACAGACAGAAATAGCAGAACAGTTATTATTATGAAAGATAATAATGGTTAAAAAAGAAAGGTTTTGCTTCTTGCTGAAGAATAAGATATGACAAAGATAATCCTGGACTCTCGCAGCTGTGGCAGTGCAAATAGCTGACTTTGGTTGTAAACATCCATCCCAGATTCCTCCATATGGAGGAGAACTCTCTGTTGGCATGAGCCCAGAAAAGGCATTTCTGTACAAGCCACATCTATCAGTCCTCCACTGCCATAAGCATCTGTGGCTGAGCTGATGAGCTGATGCTAAAAGCTATCATGACACTTCTTAATAGCAACTGGAACCTGGGTGTGGAGAAGAACTGAACCTGTGAATTTTAAATCTCCCAGGTTAGTATGACTGCAGAAGTTGAATTTATATCTTTTTAAAATTTATTTTGATAGGTTAGCATCCACCTTAGCAGGAAACATTTTTAATGGTAGCAACTACATGCAAATCCAGCTGAGTATATGTTGATTTTCCAAAAGTGAATTACCTGATACAGACCTGTTTATCCCCCAACTATATGTCACTCTTCCTTTTCATAAACACTCCCAGTTTACTGTGGAGGATGCACTGTAGCATTGTATAAACCTGTCTCTGTATCTGCACCACATAAATGCTTGAACTGTTTCTAAGACTAGTTCTAAAACTTCTTTGAGCAAAATCTGGTAAAACCTTACAAATAAATACCTTAAGAAATTGTCAAACAGTTCTCAGAAATGCCATATGTAAATGCTTAATATGCCAAGAAATCTTTAAGAAATTAATACATGAGATTGATGTTTCCATGTTCTTCATAAACTTACAACTCCCAATTTTTTTTTCCTAGATCGCCCAGGTTTGTTAAATGTGAAGCCCATTGAAGATATACAAGACAATCTGTTGCAAGCTTTGGAGCTCCAGCTGAAGCTGAATCATCCAGAATCATCACAGCTGTTTGCAAAGTTGCTTCAGAAAATGACGGACCTCAGACAGATTGTAACGGAACATGTGCAGCTGTTGCAAATAATAAAGAAAACGGAGACAGATATGAGTCTTCATCCACTCCTACAAGAAATCTATAAAGACTTATATTAATGATGATAGTAGTTCTAATTCGCTGACATAATGTATGTTTTTCAGATTGCACTATTTCTTTGAGGTAAAACTTTGCATACCTAAGAAATTACTGTGAAACAGCATTTAAAGAGAGAGAGCTTAGTATAGTAGATCTATTTTATGCATATTGTTTATAAAGACACATTTACAATTTACTTTTAATATTAAAAATATCTATATCATGAAATTGTTGGCAGTATTTTCAGAATTAATTTTTTAAACTATCTTATTTCTTAAAATTGCTTGTCCAGTATGATTGATGCTTCACTGAAGTTGGTTAAGCATGCAGTTAAATTTTCAACTTAAAAATAAAAATCTTTCTCCTTAAACATTTCCAGGGAAACATTTTAACTATTATGTTTGATTTTGTGCTCCCAAGGCAGCAGCAAAATAAAATAAAACTGAATCACAGATTAGTTTAACTTCCTTTGATAGCTTAAAAGGCAAAAGTTAGAAATGTCAGGTCTGACAATATTTGTGCCTACCGTAATACAATTTTACACTGATAGAGCTCTGTAAAGAGGTCTTAGTGTAAGAATTAAGCCCACCATTTGTGGGCAAGCCCAAAAACTAGGTGCCATTTCCAGAATTCATTAAGGAATAGGCACTGCTCATCACTCTTAGGAAGCAGAGTCTCTTCAATTACGCTGCTCATACAAGTCCGAGGCAGGCGGAGCAGCAGCCAGCATGGAGCCACCATGCAGCTGCCCCCCCCGGCCTCCGAGGCACAGGGCGCAGCAGCATTCAGTCACTCTGTTGAGTCTGTAGTTGGAACAGGTTTGTACAAACCGCTTGGCCTTCCCAAATTATTTGATGAACTATCATTGAGCAATGAAACTGTTCAGTCAAAAATGTCATGGAAAACTAGAACAGCGTGAGTCCTCCTAAGCAAAAACAAAGTTTGAATTCATTCTTCAAATCATAAACCTGTAATGGAAACTCTACCGTGTTAGTTTGACTTGAGCTATCATTGTTTATCACTGGGAACAAGAATACTTTGAGATGTTCACTGCTGTTAAGATTGTTAAATTTTTTAATTTCTATTTATTATTTCTTATGTTGCCCTATAATGTCACCTAAGTTTTCCACTGGGACCAAAGCATAGGAGAGTGAATAAATTTAACAGAAGGTAGATTTAGTTATACTATCTTCTTTTGGTATTCTCAGTTCTGATGTGAGATTCCCTTAGATTCACGTTTAGCCTGCCTGCATTTACTGTTTGTGAATGTGACCCCTGACACAGTCAAGCAGGTATGATCCACACTGGTGGACCCAAAGAGGGAATGTTGGGAAAAAAAGCCACTAACTGTAACATAGATATTGAAGTAAGGAGCGGTCCTCAATTGAAGATCCTTCGTTTTCTCACCATGTCCACATTTTATTTCTGTAGCAAAAAGTGTGCCTTAAACTTAGCGAGACAAGTTCAGTGGTGATACATAAGTGGACCAAGAGGTACTGTAAGTGTATATGTGAGCAGACTGGATTTTCAGGGAGTATAAATTGGCCTTACTCCCAATGTAGACCTTGAAAATCTAAGTTGGTGCAAATTATGCAATAAAGAGTCTGACAGAGGCAAATATTAAAATAAATCCTTAAGCTCATGCCTTCTACACCTGAAAATGTTTCCTACCACTTATTTCAGATAACCTCTGGGCCTGTGGTCAGTAGTTAGCATTATGCCCACCAGGAAGTTTGGAGAATTGGATCATTCAGCCTCAAGGTTTAAAACCCACAGGTGAAATTGCACTGAGATGAAATCAGTATGAGGCTAAAGTGAACAGCTTTGATCTTCACTAAGTTCATAAAGAGATCATTTCAGGTAACTTAGAAATTATTGCCCTAAAGCAAATGGAATATTGCATGTAAATGCTCAAGATTGCATGTTTCCTGCACATTTCATGATAGACACATTGTGCTAGCTGGGCATCGGATTCTGACAGGAATTACATGCACGCTAATTTGTGCCTGTTACAATTCAAAAGAAAATATTCTCTCTCCCCTTGTTTAAAGTTGTTTTCCACTGGACACTGGCCATTTGAAATTTTGCCATCTATCACTTAGTGGGAGAACCTGTGTTTCATTGCAGAGTTCATCCCCTCCTGTAGGAGGACATATCAAAGATTAACTGGCACTGAGGTGGACCACAGCTCCAATACTGAATTCCTATAATAGTAACACACAGCAAAACTATCAATCTGAGCCTGCATTTCTTATACAATCCAATTTCACATTGGCTTCACTAGAAATGAGAGTTCAGAATTAGTTTTAAATAAAGAAGAGTTCTAGGGCATGTTCTTATGGAAGTAATATTAAAAAATATTTGAAAATGACAGTGGAAGAGATGCACTGACAATGAAATTAAGTTTATTACTGTGTTACAGGAAAAAATTCTGTGTCACCAAGAAGCCCAACAACTCAGAGAACTTATTCTATTTTATTGCAAGTGGTAATATTTTTGAAAGAAACGGTTTAGCAGTGACAGTGTTTAAGCTATTCAGTCCAATATGGACGTATACAATCCATATATTTTGGGAGTGGTAGCGTAATGGTAGTCATAATGGCCTAAGGATAAAAGAGAAGACAGTTTTGCAGGAACAGGTCTTATCCTTTATTAGGATGAAGGGACCAAATGCCCAAAAGCCTATACTTTTCTTTCAACTGTATAAGCTGCTCTAATAAAATATATTGTTCTCCCTACATCCTGTCTTCTCTTACATTTTGATAGTTATTCATCATGTTTTCCTCAAGCCATGGAAAATGTTAATTTTCATGTGAATTAGTAATCACAGAAATGTTCTGATTCTAAATGGTTACATCATGGTTAGGAAGTTTTGCCTGAAATACTTTTCTACCAGAATAGGTCTTAAGGGAAAAATGTTCATTTAATGGACAATTGCTATGTACTAATTTAGAACAAATGACTGTTACGAGGATATGAAAACATTTTCTCAAAAAATAGCATTTTCTCTTGTGAATTATATTCAGAATTTTGATCTAATTGTAAATACTTTCTGTTTCTATGGGACTTTATTTATTAAAAACAAAAAAACTTGCTAATGGGAGTTTATAAGTAGATTGTAATATTTTCGGACTCTCTAGAGTTTTGGTTAGAATGGGTCGTGCCATAAATGAACAATTTGTTTTTTGATCTTCAGTGCTAGTAAAAACATTTAACAACTCAAAAATAGAAACAGTCAGCTGGTATATGCCTTCCTTTGAAGACCTTCATTTCACTTGTGTTTTGCTGTCCTTCCTTAGTCATCTGTTCACCACAACGTAACATCTTCAGAGATGATGTGCTGAGTGGGATACTGGTACATTCCCACAGGTTTTAGAACTTCTGAGCTGCTATTCTGCCTTCTATTTAACACTGATCTGCTTTTTCAGTAGAAAAACACTGGAGGTAAATCACGTCCAGAGAAAGTCATTTGGTATACCTGCGCATATCCAGCAACTATCTGTCTATTTCCCTCACCATTTCAAGCATCAACGAGTCATCAAAACATTTCTTGTAGAAGGTCAAAGTTCTCTATTTAACAGGAAAGATTACCTTCTTCAAAGTTTATTGGTGACCATTTCTACAGAAAATATCGCTGTGAGGAGTGGCCTAAAATAAAAATTTAGATGAGAGAAAACATTTCCAGCATCACCATTTTCATAGCAAAGGCAGCTGAGACCATTTTAATCACTGTTTCCATAACAGCAATTAAAAACTGTTTATTCTACTAATGCAGGTAACCAACTGCCTTTCAGCATGGCATGAAAGCAAGAGGTTGAGTTGTGTGTGCCTAACACAATCTTTTCCTAACACAGTCAGCCCTTCAGTAGACTAAAATACTGAAGCCTAGAAAATGGACTTCCTGACAATCGTTGCCACGACTTGTGTCACAAAGCTTTAGAAGAGCCTCAGGCCTGCCCTACCCTGCCCTTGTACTTTAGCATACACACTCTGGGTTTCAATTCACTGCTGGTACAGTTAAGCCCTGGGGGAATCAGATTTAATATTTGATTTGCAATTGTAAACTCTGTCTTGAAGTTGACTGCGTTTTAATGGGACTTTTTCCTTTTAAATAAGAGGTAGTATCTCTCCCTTAAAAGGAGGTAACATCAACTTTGTAAGCATAAGCAATACAAAAGTGCAGCTAGAGATTTATAGAAGCAGGAAGACAAAAATTAGGGGGGGAAAAACCCCAACAAACCAGCTTCCTGGATCAGCAGCTCAATCATACACCTGTCAAATGCTTCAGGTTTTCATTCAAGCATTGGAAAAAATTATGTGCCTCATCTTAAATCCCATTCAGACTGCCTTGCTTACGGTGGTTAATAATCAGCTGCATAGGCGTGTCTCCAACTACATGAATACAGCAATATACTTGCACACTTACCAGCACTAACTAGCCCTGAAAATGTTGATAATTGTAGGAAAAACAATTTCTGCATTTCTGATTGTTTCTTTTGATATGCAGGGGATAACTGTGAAATTAGAGTGGCAAAGCAGCACATCTTAAATATTGCTCACTGGCTTTAAGAAAACAATCAGTAGCCAATAACCCACCCAACAACAAAAGGAAGTAAGGAAAGGATTCCAAGACTTCAGATGCAATATAATACTGTAATATATGTGTGTGCACACATAAGCAAGGACATACATAACATTCATTTATAGTATAGCTCCTAACCAGAAACCATTACTAGTAATCTGTGGGTGGAAGAACTCCAGACAGCAGAAAGTAACTGCTACTTGTTACCTTTTTGCTCCTACATTCTGAGAGTTGTCTCAAAATATATACCACTCATTTTCCAGTATAAAAAGACTATCTAGATATAAGTATTTTTGCTTCTGATCAACCTGCATTGCCACCTGGCCCTATATTTCATCGGTGCTCTTTCGCCATGCCCCTCCTTTCAAGCTGTATAAATTCAGCAGGATTTCTCCTCAGTATGTGAGCTGTTGTTTGATATCTATTTCCTTGAGTTTCAGCATCGAGTTGGAGACAGGCATGAGCAACTGCAACTCAGGATATGGAGACAGCTTAGCTTCACTATGTCTGCTCGTTCATCAGACCTGGCAAATACATACTCTGTTTCAAGGACTATACAGAGTATTCCTGTTTATAGTACCCTAGTCTCTGGACCTTAGTGTTCTGTATAAACGCTGCACACTTGAGAATATATCAAATCTT